TTTAACACAAGCGATATTTTTTTTTATATCCTGCACCACTTGTGGTATAGGATTTTCAGGAGGCCGATAGCGAAAAGCAATCCCTTATATGGAGAGGAGGCTTAATTTCTAGCTTTCTATGCGATGCGGGCTTTAATGAAATTTATGCCTTTGCATGAAAATAATGTCTAATGCTTTTTGGTATATTATTATGAATAATATTACTAAGCGAAATGGTGTACGATATTGAAGGTCGCCATTGCCCATTGTTTTATTTTCAAAATATGTTTCGAGATTTATCTTTTTTTCGTTATATTATGGCAACAATGGTGTTCTGTAGTGTAACTTTATGTTGTAGAAAAGTTGAGAATTGCGGATGAGCATACGAATCGATTTACCTGAAGGGAAAAGCGAAATATACTTATTTAGGGTTTAGGCTAAAACGTGTCTTTGATTAAATCGATTCTACTCTTTTCCGTGATCGAAAGCACAATATATATGCATGTTTGGAATCTCCAGCATCCAGAGACCCAAGCATTTATCAAAATAGAGTAAACATTAGAGTGTAAAAGATCTAAACCAAGGCGAAGATAAATTTTCTCCTCCTCTATTTTAAAGTCTACAATGTACTCATTACAACTCTACAGCTAATAGCGTAGCGAATTGGAAGCACCAATGTCTCGCGTACCGAATCCAAGTCCCTGATCACTACAGAGTAGAGTAACTAAAGTTTTTCGTTTACTCAAATTGAATATAAATTTTTGTTTTTAAAATTTCCAATAAATCTTCTCTTCTTATTTATTAGTATAATGTGATCATAATTAGCTATAAATGGTAGGAATGGTTTCTTTTCTTTTCTAAACAATTAAAATATAAATGTAAAAATTTAATTTAATTTTCATCAAAAATACCTGCAAAAAAAAAAAAATTTTCAAATAAAACAATTTAATTGCAATAAATAATAAAATAATTATTTGCAACATGCACAGACGCGTATACAAGAATGCATACACTCGTTCATGTCATTGAAAAGTAAGCACATAATACATATTCAGTACTGAACGGTACCGTTTTTATCACCCGCAATTCATCATTAGCAGCTAATTAAATAGACAACAACAATAACAATTGCAAACATGCTCATACCATTTATTTAAACATACACCACACGCACAAGCAAACACGTGCATATACACAATACAAACGCATGAATACACGCGGTGCATACACATACTCTCTCGAATGTATATGTATATATATATATATATATATATATGTATATATGAATGGCAAACAATAAAAATTAAATGAACACAAATTTAAAATTTGCCTTCAATGCCTGAATAATTAAATATTACAGCAATTTTATTATGTAAATAATCTCATTATTGAGAATATCAGGGAAAATGCATTGAAAAATTAACACTGTTTACAACAGAAATGTTTCCTGTACTAGTTAATATCGAACGGTATGTCAATTGTATTGTCTGCCCGCGTAATTAAGCCTTCCCTTCGCATCGTCATATTGTGAATTCACGTATGTAGGTACACTGACCGACTGGATTCTTGAGATTTCATGTAAATGTTGTGCATCTATTCATTTCATTTAAAACTAATTCAAGTCTCGGTTTTGGCTATATATACAGGATATATATTAAAGTAGGGCTTTTTTTAAAAAAAAGAAAAAAAATTGTAGTTGATAAACTAAGTCGACATGAAGATTACAAACTTGCAATTCTAAAGCAACGCAAAAGCTCTTCAAATGTTGAGAAAGCAATTAAACGAAAAATAGATAACTCAAAGCAAAGAGACCTTATGCGACTAGCGTTTCATTAAAATGTTAACAACAATTCACAGGAGATTCAGCGAGTAAACCGCTTAGCAAAAATTTTGAGAATGAAATCTAGTATTGATGAGTTGTGTTCAAAACGTGTATGAGCAGAGCATTTGTACTTAATGCAAAGCATGTTCAATCGCGACGTTCGACAAGAGAAGTTCAAAAGAAGTGTTGGAACATTGCATATTGCAATTCCCATAAATGATTTCTTTATAAGAAGATTTTTTAAATTTTGTGAATAAAATTTGCGCTATTCCAAAACCCCGCGTTTGACCGGTTGCACCGAATCTCATATATATCTGGATAAAGCCGTAAAACCGCATTTCACTTAACGATAATATATCTATCCATCATATACATACACAGATTTATACACGAGATGTGTTAAAAAAAAAGTCGTGACTTCTCGAATTTCGAAGGCATTCAACTCTCGAATTTCTTCTTTTTTGTTAGCACAGATGTCTCCAAAGTACGTAGACGTTGTCAGTCGTTTTCCTTTTCGCAGATGTAAACGTTGGCCATATTTTCCTATCAAAAAAATGAATCAAAAACTCTAATAAATAAAGTTTTTGTGAAAAATCAAACAGAGTGCCCCAGGTAAGAAAATTAGATTCCGTCGTGACTGAATCTTTTATACCCATCGTCCAAAAAAAAGACCAAAAAAGTAAGAGAACTAAACTCTCTAATATGGAGTGGATACGAGTGCGTTTTTTATTTTGAAAATAAACGTTTTTGTCGCATAGGCGAGTGGGCGTCGTACGTGTGTTCTTCGAAAATTTTAAGTCAATTCCCAATGCTTTTGCTAATTTGTAGGTGATATCTTTATTTTCGCTAACGAGAGAATGTTTACCACAAATATTACACAGCTGTGCAGATGGACGGATGGACAGACAGGCACTTAGGTACATTCCAAATTTGAAACTGACTAAGAATTTATTGCATTGAAAAAAAGATTAAATTTTTATATCGGATAGGCAAAGTCCATGTTTTTCCATTTTTGTACAGGTGTTACACCATCGCCCATAGAATTATAGGTTGAAATTCTTATACATTTATTTACTATTATTTAAACCAATTTTTTATTCCTCTTGAAAAACAGATATTCTCACTTTGAGTACTACTGAAGGAGCGCCCTTTGACAGATTTGGACCAGTTTCAATACCGGCCTGCGTGCAGGAATTTCAAATGTTTCTGCCAAATTTGAAGTCGATAGATTCATGTTTCTGAGTGTTTAAGGATGACATTACACAGATGAGCAGACACACAGCCGGGCATGCTTAAATCGATTTACAATTTGATACTGATCAAGAATACATATACTTTGCGGAGTCTCTGAAAGTTTCTTCTGGACGTTGCAAACGTTTGGACAAAATGTATATACCCGTCATCCTTCGGCGATGGGTACAAAAAATATTTATAAGTAGTACAAGTAGTACAAGTCGCGGAAGGCCGAGAAGATGTTAATAACGATGCTCGCCCTGCACGTCTCAGCACGTCAACATCCGATGAAAACTTTGCTGCAATGATGAAAACTATAATGAAGAATCGGCGAAGCTCAATGTCAGAGAAGTTGCTAAGGATGTCGGCACATCGTTTGACTCTTGCTATGCAATTTGTTCAAATGTTTTTGGTATGAAGTGAAGTGAAGTGGCAGCGCAGCGTAGTTTGTCCCGCAATTGCAAAATTTGGATTAAAAGAGTCGTGGTATGATCATCGTTTAGGAGCTGTTGAATGACCTTAACGACGATCCAGATTTGCAAGCTTTTTTTGTCGATTTTGCAGTTGCATGTGTTTTTCAAACACATGTCGTATATATACGTATAAGCAAATAAGGAGTCGTCGACAGTAACAAGTAGATATATTAATTTCATGACATTGAGCCTTAGGCCAAGTTTACATATGCATTAGGAAATGAATAAATAAATAAATTATCTATGGACTCTTGCCTTTCACATGCGGGTTAGTATTTTCTTGACCAATTTTCGTCTCTTCTGGGTTGGTCTAAATCGCCTATATGCTATAGTTACTATATAATATATAATATTATCGTTATTGTCATCTTTTTGCGGATATAGATCTTGACCAAAATCTCTGTTTATGGTACGGGGCATATGCGCGCAATACCCCAAAGGACACCTTTGTTTATACCGATCGATTCAAACTTTATTTCGGTCAATTGAATTAAGTTTAGGTACCTGTCTGGCCGTATGTTTGCCTCCTTACCCTTCTGCCTGTCTGTCCGTCTGTTCGAAATTGCATGCATCATGAAATTTGTGGGGTATTTTGACATAGTTTGGTTTGCTGGCTTGGTTTCGTTTTCGGACCAAGCGCAAGATTAGGTGGACAGTATGCCAAATTTTGGAGAAGTGCTTATATGAAAAAAATACCCTATTGTCAAAATTCTATGGCAAAAATCATTGAGCGATATTACTTTGGCATAATGAATTGATGCAACAAACATGGAATGACTGGACCAATTGGGCTTCTAACGGTAACTGTAAAAATAAAGAGCTATTGTGAACGAGTTAATCCGCAGCCGAGTCTTGTGTTCATTTCGTTCAAAATGTATATTTTTATATTTCATTCCCTGTACTTCTTTGACAGAGTACATAAAATGTTACCTTTTAAATATTTCTCTTAAAAGACTACGTTCGAGTTAACTTTAAAGGAAAAGACTCTTCTAACTTTCTACGAGATTGCGACAGTAAGAATCGATAAATAATAGTTGAAGCAAAGATTTCCATTAACTCACTAGATTCGCAATTAAGATAGAGCTTTCCTTCCGCCTTTCTCCATTAGATTGTACATAAAAAAATTTCATAGAAATTATACATCGAGTATGCTAATCGCACCAGTCTATCTTCGGTCTTGTTTAACCTTCTCTAACCCGTTCAACATGCAATGGAAAATTTTCCCAAAAAATGTTTACTTCAATAGCGTGCATGTTAAAGATAAATGATTAACTAAACGCAATTAAATAGAAAATATTGTTTTTAACAATTTAATTATACTTAATTTTTTTTTTTTTTTTTTTAATTTTCCAAAAATTAATCCTTTGTTTTTTTTTTCTGTGTTATCAAAAATCAATGCAATTCAAGCGGGAATTTTTCAATTATTTCGAATTTGCTTTTTTTTCAAAATTCGTTCATGTATAAATGGCGAACCCTTACTGGCGGGCATCATCAGTCGTTTTCTATTATTCAAGTCTCTAGTGTGATATACAATTTCATACGCGAAATAATTTTTGGGCAATTATTCAAATTTTGAAATTGAAATCTTTTTTTTAATTGAAAAATTTCCAAGTGGCATAACTATCGGTAGTGATAGTATTTCAACGAAAATCATGCAGCATTTAATAAAAGTGTTTGGTTTTATAACTTTGTTTATGCTGATTGCGTTGACTTACAACGGTCGACAGTCTTCAGTTAACGCGAACTCCTTGCATTCGAAAGTAAGTAAGAAGTGCTTGAAATGAAATAAAAAAAATTTGAATTTTAAAGAGAGAATTACAGAAGCTTTTCAAGGAAATCGCAAAGGAAAATAGTAAACATTTTCAAATTGCTATCGTCTTTTCAGATGGCTGAATTTTCTCATAGAATGAGGAGTGACGTTCCTGAACTTCATGCAGACGAAGAACCCCATGTAAGTGCTTTGTGATATATTTTTATTGTGAAATGAACTCAGCTTATGCTAGTTATGAGGAGCACAAAATTATTTGCAGAATGGCTTGTGCGTATTTTTGATAAGAACTCTGCAAGATATTGTGTTTTCGAAAGACTTGCATAAAACTTTTTGATATTAGAGCATTGCTCTTAAGAAGGGTAAACACTCGATTTCATATGCCAAGAGCCATACATTTAAGTTGATTGTCCTCTGGACAGAACCTGTAGTCTAAATGTTGCAAACAGCCATAAAAAGGTTCTTTAAACCAACATAAGAATTGTCGCCCTGCAGGCAACAACCGCACAGTTTCCAACGCGTACATCTGCTCAAAATTAGTGTACAATTGACTTATGCCAACAGAAGAAGTCGACTGTGTACACCAAAGTATTCAGAATTCGAGCGGTGACAAGCATGCGTACCTCCTGGACTCGGTTTATGCATAGCACCTACGGGTTCTTAAAAGATAAAGGCGGTTTATCAAACAACTCCTTCTTCCTCCTTTTGAAGTTTCCCATGCACTTCATGATACGCTATAGCTACGGATGGTTATCTTCCCGCTTTACTCGCCTTTTAAACCATCTATCTGCTACGGCTTTTTGCGCCGGTCCAAGTGTTATCACGTATATATATAAAAATACGCAACAGTCTGCTTCACCGTTCCTCTCTCTATAATATGTCCTCTATAATAAAACCATGTCCTCTATTGGAAAAGCATTGAGTAAAATAACGTAATAAGCTGGGTGAGGAAAACGAGGCTATATTTTGCAAGCATCTAATAGCAACGTCTGCTGATAGATGTAATCAGCGAAACTAGTGAAAAAGTTAAACTACTCTGAGTTTATTGCAAATGTTCATAGGATTATCTTCGTTTAATTGCAGCCGCCAGAAGTTACCAGGAAACGTCGTGAAGCTGCTGCAGATCCTCAGCCACAGCAGCCGGAAGTATGTAACTTTTTATGTTACTATGACTTTATGAAATCATATATTTTAAATTATTTTCTATTTCAGAGCGAATCCAAGATGGCCTCTCCACAAAACGCGGTAAGTAAAAAAAATTTTGGTTTACATCTATACATAATTCTGATAATATCGGTATGGTTTGTTTCTTTATTTCTAACAGCAAAGTGATGATTCCGCTCAAGGACCTAAGGTAAGTTGTAAAGAAATCATTTTTCAAGTTTTCTCAAAATTCAAATGATTTTAATTTTTTTTTTCTCTCTGTACAATCTGTGTTAAAACAGGCTAATCAACAACAAACCAGGGTGAGTTGAGATTATTCAAAAAGTAAAAAAAAGAATTGATTTATTAATAATAAAAATATTGTTTTTTTTTTCCTCCAATTTTTATTAGACTCGTCGCCAGGCACCACCCGAACAACCACCTAGTCGCAAATTTAATGCTGATATGGTAAGAAACATTTATTGATTAAAAAAGCATAATTAACTACCATTTTCTTCGTACTTTTTAATTACGTTTGCAGAGCGAGGACAAAGGATCCGGCATGATGCGTGTAAGTGAATAATTATTTAAGTTTTTTTGAAGAATTCTTACAAAATGTTATCGCTTTTCTAGACTAAACGTCAGATGCCAGCTCCTCCGTCCCCACCCGAGGGTATGCCAATGCCACCGATGTAAATTTAATTTATCGGAACCAGTATAAACAAAGTCCTATAGGTTCATACAAAAAAAGGGTTTAAAAGTTTAAACAGAGGGTCATACAGAATGTTTCATTAAAACTGTAAAAAAATAAATAATTCCAGCAAAGTTAGATATTAAGGATCACGCAAACAAATAAAAACCCAGCACAATATTTAAAATTAAAAAAAATCGCTTTACTTGAGTGTAAAAGGATTAATATATCATAAAAGAGACAGGGAGATCTTTCTAAGGGAAACATATGTCCTTGAAGATCATTCGTCTCATAGGTAGGTTGTATTTTTCAATTAAGAGCAAAATGACTTTACCTAAATCCCAATAGAATCTCACGGAATAAGTAAGTGTATTATCATCAAAGCGAGCGTTGAGCGGACATGAGGCCGACCTGTGTCTCGAAACAACTCGATAAAAACTAGTTATAAAGATTTTAATGTTAATTGCAAATTCGATAATTTACTTACATCTCTATGTTCACTTTCTCGATCATGCTTGCGTGTGCATGCTCTAACATGCAACGCGTAACGTATAAAACCTGCGAAGTTTTTTTTTTGAGAGAGGCGCCGAAAGCATTTATTTGTAACGAAAAATCTTCGAGAAAAGGGGTGAAGCAGTATATCCGCGTGGAGAAGCGTATTTCTATGTACATTGGTGTGTAAAAATTGCTACAAAATTTTTATAATGACTAAATAAGGAAATTATATTTGATCGTGATCGAATATTTTACACCCACCATCGTTGCCCTAAAAAAAGGCAAAAAAGGTAAAGGAACTAAGTTTTCATGCGCTATACTAGGGTGCGTAGGCACGTGGGCGTTTAGGCCAAAGAAGGAAAATCTGCTTCCCATTCTGCACCTAACATAAGCAATTGGAGTTCGAGTATGTCTTTGCCTTTTGTTTAAAAATCAAGCAAAAAGCCTTATAATGCTTGGTGTAGGGAAGACATTTCTCCTTTATTTATTTATTTTTTTTTTCCAAATAAGCCTGATTAGGAAGATACTATGAGAAAATTTTCTTAAATTCGCCTGTTTTTCTTACATTCCAGCCCACATTCAGTTAAACCGTTCAAAACGCTTGCAAAACATTTACTTTAAAGTGATGGTATACTTGGCATATGTAATAAAGCTTAAAGAGATCGTATTTATGTAGCAAATGCCAATACATAAGCATTATTACTTTGAAGCATCCAGGCGTACAAAGAGCAATACGAATAAGTGCATTGCCTGGTTTGTTCTCAGACATAGTTATTATTATTGTAATTTCAATTCTTTTTTTTCTCATATTCATTAGACGGAAACCATAATGTGCACAGCGAAGCGACAAAAATATTGTTTAAATGTGTAAATTTAAAGTGCTTGTGTACAAGTGTGTGAATGAATATATTCACATGTCCTCCTATAATGCTAACAATGCATTTGATAGCATATACATACGAACAAGTCTACTTAGAATCAAACGAAATCTTTGAGTATTTGGTTACAATTCCATGAGCAGCAAGCAAGCCAAGCCAGCCCAGTCAGTCTTTGAGTCAATATTGTTTTCTGTTCTTGTTGTTGTTATTGTTGTTATTGTTGTTGTTTACTTATGGTTGCCTTTGGTTGCAATATGTATGCAGAATGACGTTCCATTTCTTCTTTTTTTAAATTGTCGTTTACTTAAGTGGTGTTGTTTGCATAAAATTGTAATACAATATTCTTTAAATTGCGAGTGAATGTTATAGCAAATAAAAGGTACGAGCACACAAACACAAATATGCACCAATACCAAAGCCAATGTATATTCTACGCTCAGTTATTCGTATAGGAATGCATGCACATGTCTGCTCGCACATACATACATGAAAATGAGTAAGCTATGTGCGCCTTCAGGAGTATTTGGCATACTCAACATTTCAACATAATGTGTTCACTAGTCATTTGTTTGCCAGCTGTGTTCGTGTGTGTGTGTGTGTGTGTGTCAAATTTTCGATTCGAAGCTCAACGGTCTTTTTCACAATTCTAGTAAATATTTTGTAGGGAAGAAAGCAGCTTGTCGTCTCTTTTTCTATTTTTATTTTCCACGCTATTCCTATTAAAATATTTGTTTTTGCCCTTATCTCTCTTTCTCTCTCTCTCTCTCTCTCTCTCTCGCTCCATCTATTAACCTCTGTATATTTCCCTCTTTTGTTACTTCTCTGTCTTTGCTTTCGAATTTTTTTTTCATTTATATTGAACGTTTTATTTTATTCTTGATCTTTATCTTGCTCTTTGTCTTTGTCTTCTTTTTTATCTACAGCTTTGCTTCAGGCCTTGTTATGTCTACTCCTATACGCATCCACTTGATCATGGCTATGTCCATTTGTATCATGATCTTTATCTATATCCCCTACTAATTATAATCTTTATCTTTATTTTCCACTCCATCTCCATTTCTGCCTTTATATCTGCTTCCATCTCTATGCCTGTCTCTATCTCTTTTCGTTTCTATATCTACCTTCAATGTCATCACATTCCTTATATCAATTCCATTTTTTTATTTTTTTTTTCAAACATGGATGAACAGTGTGCTACAAACTCGTGGCTTTAAGAATTATAATACAAATATCCAACAACATAAGCTTCGATTATTTGACTGTAAGTTTGTATTGATCAATGACGAGATCACCATTCACTCTCCTGCTTAGTTACAGTTAGGAGTTCAAACAGGACAAACACCCCAGAGCCAGCGCCCATTACCTGATTGTAAGTTTGTATTGATCAATGACGAGTTCACCATTTACTCTCCTGCTTAGTTACAGTTAGAAGTTCGCTCTCTAGGGCAATTTTCTCAATTCTCGTTTTCTTTGAATGTCACTCCGTCTAAATGATCTCTTTCCAGATCAATTAAAAATGATCGAATCTAACTTAAACTCTATTCATGTTTTTCTCTACACGTTCTTCTATAGCCCTATGATCGTTTGACTCTATTCATTGGTTTGTCATCTTTTCTCATTTCTTTGCCATATACCAGTCAATGTATAATATTTAGCGGAGAAAGCACACAGAAATTTCTTTCTTTCCAAGCCAATATTTTGAGGAAATTCGAGTCATTCTGTCTAAGTAAATGATTATCTATTCGTTAAAAATATGATTTTTAGTTATAAACATCTTTCGCTTCAAAATTCGTGTTGTTGCAACTGATATAAGTTATTGTTACATTCGATTTGTGGATCTAGAAGTTCTGTCATTGAACGGCTGGACATGGCTATATGAGCCTAAAATGTTAGAATTGTTCAGAATATAATGAGTTTTTTTCAATTATTGAAACCAAAAGTGAGGATAAGGTTAGCGAGATATTTTGTTCGCTTTCGAACGGTTCAACCGGTAAAACACAGCGGGACCGCGCTTGGCAATAAAATTTGAATAATTGCAGAGCAACATAAACGTGGATAATGAAACCTAAAAAATGATGATTTTTAGAGTCAAACCGTTGTAAACGCTCCGACAAACTTAGTAAACTGGCATTGCATTGATGGAAGGTATAAATATATTGCATTACCATATAAGCATTCAGTAACAATATTACTATATGCAGAATGTGTACTTGTTTGCGCGAACCAGAATATTGCAAAAGGATTTCATTGCATTTTCAAATAAGTCGTTTGTTGTTTTCGAGGGAACACTTCTTTTTCCGGATTTTCTTTTATTCCTTTTTCTTTACGTATAAATATCTATCGCACACATGCACTATAATGTACGCTAATGTATACGTACATATGCATATATGTATGTTCGCATGCATGCATGTATGTATGTATGTATGTATGTATGAGAATGCAAAATATATATAATGTATGTGTACATTTAAGTACTTCCATATGTGCATATGTAAAGTTAACTGGAGAATAGGTTAAGAATATTTTCCCGATGTCTTTACAACGAATTCATAACACCTTACCAGTTTGTTTAGCAACTCGGTCCCAGTTACTGTCTAATGCCATTATGACATAAATTAGCTTAAGTTATTGCAGCGAAACAATTTTCTAATGAAATTGACTTTGTCTTGTCTCTAACTATGCGTAGCGACCGAATTTTCTTGCGGAGCAAAATAACAAAAGAAAACAAAATTAAAATTAAGAAACACAAATGTAGGTTGAAAATGCTTACATACATAAATATAAGTTAAATTATCTTCGTACATGTTTTATATATATATATATATATATTTATATACATATGATTTTTATTATTGTGGTTTTATTTGTTCCGTTGTTTGGTGCCACAGGACGAAGAAACCAGTTGGGTAAAAGTCTGACAACTTATGAATTTTCAAAAGTTTTCTTGCGTTTTTATTGCGAAAATATTTTAAATATTAATAAAAAGAAAGAAAAGGCAACAAATTGACGAAAAAGAACGATACGAGATAAAACCAGAGCTGAGTAAGTCTTAATTTAGCGGTTAAGTTGAATTTGAGAAAAGGGGCGAAAAATAATTTTTTAAATCTTTTAATATCGGAAATTTAATTTATATTAAAAGAAAAATAAAATAAATTAAAATTGAACTTAAAATTTTATCAAATAAAATGAAAACCATGAAAAAAGACATACCACATAACAAGCCTGACGTTCAAGGTTCTTCTGCCCCTTTGCTTATTATAGTGATATTATTATGTAATAAAGGTACAAAGCGCATAAAGCGAACAATGCTAGAATGAAGAATGCTTTCTGAGGATAACGAGAAGCGCTTTTCAGCTAAGTGGTTTTAATGTTCCCTGGCCGCCATACAGGGCCGAATGTCTTCATGATCGGCAAGTATGATATGAGATATATTAGCATCATTCGGCTCAGCAATGTTAACCGTTCTTGGGCAGCATTGGAGTGAGCATGGTCACGCTGAAAAATCAAGCTGTAATCTCCGCCACTCTGCTCTTTTCATTGTTGATAGCATTTTTCGGCGATAGTTTTTTTGACTTGCTGCACCTTCATCCTAAGTAAGGGTGCCATTTATGACGGACTTAGCTGTCATTTCATTCTTTTTTTTTTTTTTTTTTTAATATGACCTATCACCCAGGATATGTCAGCTCTTAGTCGGCAGAATATCGGCTGCGTGAGGATTGGTGTTGTGACTTTGCCGACTTTGAGCACTCCGAGC